GGCTGGCAGGCTCTAGTCTGAGAACAGTAGGGCACCGATATTGAGGTAGTGTGATGTGTGGTTTGGGGATACTACAAAGGCATTTTTCCCAGGCTTTCTTGTGATGTAAACTGCCTGTCAATCCTGCACCTTGCAGGTCCAGCTCCCTTTAATGTTCATGTGTTCATTATGTTTGTGCAGAGAGTGTGCTTGGTTTAATATGAAAGCTGATAACCAGCCACTGAAACAGGAAACAGGTGCTCAGCACCTGCCTCGTTCTTGTGTCACCTTGTTAGAATGGGGAAAATGAAAGTCACTTTCATGTGCAATGCTTCGGTCTTTTCATGTGTCCAAGTTACTTAAGTGCATACCATGAGAGAGGGAGCAGGTGGTGCTTGTCCACCGGACACGCAGAAGTGGTTGTAATTTACTACCTTCAAGGTCCTCCCCCTTCATCATCTGTTGAACTTTGTTCTGTGTTCTCAGTTCAGACACATCTTTAAAAAGCTCCTTAGAAGTCTGCTAGCATTGAGATGCTTTGAGTGTGAAATTCAGCTAATAATCCTTTTTCATTTTATGGAGTAACAGCCTGGGTTTTCATCGAATGAAAACCTACACAGTACTGTTCAAACAATTGCAAACATCAGGTGCAGAGAGAGTAGAGACAGTTATCATATTATTTAATTGTAATTATTGACTAATTCTTCAATTAGACCATGTCTTTACACAGCCTCGCACCAAAGCAGATAACTTATATAATACACTGTTTTTTTGGGACGGTTGTTGTCTATGTTTAATAGCAGCATAGGGTATTCTCATTTTAAAGTAAAGTTTTCAGCTGGAGGGCATGTATACAGTATTTAAGGTAGGCTGGGTATGTATACATTAAATATTTTGGGGGAAAAATTGACTGCTAATAATTATAAAGGTTTGGAAACACAAATCATAAAGATAGACTGGGTGTAACATTGGTTGTTCTTTTTCATTGGCATATACTGTAAGAACATAAGAACAGATACAAATGAGAGGATGCCGTTCAGCCAATCTAGTTCACATAACAAGGCCTAATGATTTCCAGGAGCTTACTCTGAGCAAATGACTCATGAAAGCAATGCTTTTATCCTTAGATTAACAGTATCTTTGCATTGCTGAAAAGCCCTGTATGTCCTACAAGCATGGCAGCAAGTGTTGTCCTCCTTATGATAGAAAGGTTGTTTGGATTAGAAGGCTGTATCATGTTAGTGTACTGTATATAGCTGAATTACCAGTTTAGTAGGCTGCATTCATTCACACAGCAGCTTTCAGAGTAATAGGTGTACACATTGGTACACTGAGAAATCAGTCTTTTGTATGTAACACAACATATGAAAGTAATCTCTTCAGTGATAAGAATCCAAGAAGAATGAACAATATTGTTCTCTCCCTCTGTTGTAACTGAGTGCATGGGAGAGAACCGTATACTATACATGCTGTGTCCAGTCTTTAAAACAGTAAGTAATGTCCATAGATATGGCAAGGATGCAGCTAATGCTAGAGGTGTTTGTATCTTATGGAAGTTGTTTTTTGTTTTTGTTTTTTTGAGTGTCACACTTCCAAACTTGACAGATGAGCAGCCTGAATGGACCTTATCGCTTACTGCAGTAATTTCATTACCTTGGACAGACCTCTCAAACAGCATTCTTTATCTTTTTCTTTAAAAAGGCAAAGCTGATAATACTTAAACACAGATAAAATAACTTGAAGTTATCATCTTTAAATTAAGGGCCAATAGCTGTCAAAGCTGTCAAAGCTACATTAATCTGAATATGTTATGAAGAGGTTTTGTGGGTTTTGCTTGTTATCCTGCTGTTCTTTCATTATTGTATTACAGTTACCACAGAAAGTCCAAAAGAACACTAGATTTTGTCATGCTGGAGAACTAAAGCCAGCCTTTTTGCAGCAGCTTTGCCACGAATGGATTCTGCATAAACAAAGCTATTTAATGGGAATCAGAATTCCACCAGTTCCAACATTTTTAAATATCTAACTGGCAAAAATAGAATAAAAGCAGTATACTATGGAAAAACGTTTGAAGTCTTTGGAGGACTGCAAATTTTGAAGTGCAGTTTATCTTCAAAACTGAAAAATAAAGAGTTTGAAAAAGTTCTAAATTCGATGGGCTGGTTCTTCCGGAGTCATTGCTACACAGCCTTCACAAGGGCTATTCATTGGGCCGTGGCTGGCGGAAGGAGTTAATACTAGTCTAGACATCTGCATCTATATGTATTTTTAGATAGAATCGCACAAGCTGATATCCATGAAAAAATCACAGAAGGTAATATAGCTGAGGCACGTTTGAGCCATCCACGTGGATTGGCTTTATTCATTGGCCTCCATTAGTGCGATTAAAGAAGTGACATTGAGGTCTGGGAAATGAATTCATCCTGGCCTCATGTGTTCCTTTTCTTTGCAAAAATGTGGTCTTATCATTCAGTGGAGTAAGAAATATATTTGCCAGCTAAATTGTGACCAGGCTTTTGGGGATTTCCTTAATTGAGTTTCACATGTAATTTGTGTTAGAAAGAATGAAAAAAACAATGCTCTCCATCTTCCCTGGGAACATCTTGGATGGATTTTTGGACAAATGTTTTTATTCATTTTTTTAATAGAAACACTATGTACAAGGAGGAAAGGGGTAGCTCATTTAATTTATTTGGATGTTGATTTTATCCAAATTGACTTCGATTTCTGCTCATTTACATAGCTGGAGTAATCAGAATAAAATGCTTTGCTCAAGTGTGCTTCAGCAGAGCCTCACCTGGTACTTGAACCCAGAAATTTTTAGTTTTGAGTCCACAGCCCTAACCATTCTTTCACACTAAATAAACATGTTCTGAAGTGAGAAAGTGCAAATCTGCTCACTCACAATTTTTGCATGAGCAAAATTGAATAATTTTTAGTTTTTTTCCACAAGTGCAATTTGTGCAAAACATCACAGGCAAATGCCATTTACGGTTACCTCAGTCTACACCCAGCAACGTAAATTTGAGAAATGTCGCTGAGCAAGAGCATTTGAAAGGTTAGCGTCTCAGTCTTTCTAGTCACATGTTAATCACATACTCCCCAAATTTATCACAGTGCCTTCAGAAAAGTATCCTCAGAAGGTACTGACCACACCTTGAGTGTATTTGACCAGCACTGCCAATTTAATGTGGCTTGCCTACCAGGTGCAGTTATGAAATGGGTTAGCACATGTGCTTGGAATTTGGAGGAAGAGAAAGTGTTTTCCTAGACCACCTCCCAATCAGGACTACCAGCTTGTCTAATTCCCTGCCCCATTTGAAGGTCGTTGTGAGAGTTCTTCACTCATTTTAGATGAGGGAAGAAAGTCATGCAGAGAAGCTCTGGACTCCAGCAATTCACTGGGTGAGAGGGTAAAATAGTGTCCCTTGACACCCAGTTGACTGGAGTACAAGAACCATAAAATAATAAAACCCAGCAAGTATCGCTGCCTCAGATACCCAAATGCGCACAGGCCGTTATCATGACGTCAATGAGCCTGGTAGCCTGCAAAGGTAGACATTTTTGTAGAAGGTTAATAGAATCATCTCCCTTGACACCCAGAAGCAGGCTGACAGTATGCAAGGTAGACCTGCGGCTTCTTTCCAGCAGCACAGCAGGACAGGGTCAAGCAGGGCTAACTCGTTCTCCATCTCTCAGTTGCTGTCATGGTTTTTGCGCTGATGGCTTTAACATAAAAAAGATCAGTTTTCAACCCACAATGAGATCCCTGAGCAAGTGGCACTGTGTATCAAATGGCCATGGGAGTTCCCAGGCCTAGTCCTCACAGGAAAGTGCTGTGTTTGCAGTTGCAGCTGGTGAGGAAGGTAACTGGGGGAAGGGATGCCTGGCTTCATGGCCAACAAGTTGCTCTTTTTAGTGGTCTACATACTGAGGAATAAAAAGCAGAAAAAGTGCCCTCAGGTGAAATGTTATTTCATCTTTTGAAATAACGACCAGGCACCATGTTTCTGCTCTCTTGATCGAGCCACCACTGTGGCATTGAGCCACTGGGAGTCCCTCATGTTGTTTTCTTTTAAAGAAGAATGTAGGCATTTTTAGTTGCTGCCTGTGTCCCTTCCAAGGTTCTTCATTCCAGTGTGCAGGCTCTCTCCCTGTGCTGAAAATGCACTTAGAAAAAGAACGCTGATTGTCTTAACCAGCGCTCTCCAGCCTGGGCCTGGTCTTGCTTATGGGCTCTTTTAACGTCTTCAAAGCCAGATGTGTGGTCTGGGGTAAGTTTGGGTTCTGTAAGTTCTTCAGAGCTCTGCAATACACATCAGGATTGGAGTGTCAAAATATTTCAAAAGCAACTAAATATGCAAACTAAAGGGATTGTCAATACTGCGTAGAGAATAACAAACTTCAAAACATTTCTAGCATCAAACCTTTAAGGATGGCGCAATACTCTGTGTCATCTCTTGTGTTAAAAATATAAAAGCAAAAACGAGGAACAGAGAAATCAGAACAGGGTTGTACGGATGTATAATCTGTTTTTATAATACTATTATGATACTGTATCTAACAATCTGAAAGTAATGTGCATTCTTCATGGACAATAGTCACAACAGTTATGTTGTTTGCTCGTTATAACAAGTACTTAGTTAATAAACACTTAAATTCAAGGCAAGTACCATCATATAGGTGGTGAACAAACAATTCTGCTGTATACAGTATGTCTTCCAGTAGTAGAAGAACACTCTTTTTCTTGATCAGGTGGATACAGCTTTGAATCAACAGGGATCTGACCCAGGAACTTCTCAGTCACATGCTCTTTTCTCTAACACTGGAACGAACACTGGACCTCCAGTAGTCTCATTTGTTTTGTTTTTTTTTTTTTCAGATCAGGCAAAGACCTTTTCAAAGCATCCTTATTTTCAATACCTTTTCCCATGAAAGAAATCCAAGAGAAAAGTCATAATGCAGCAGTTCTTTGCGTGGAAAATATGATTTACGGTAATGTCTTGTCATTGGTGTTTCAGATCAGTTACGTCAGCGCATCAGACAGTGTGGTTCAGTTCATCTTTTACCAGCCTATTATACATCGCTGGAGGGAGACCGATTTCTTCCCATGTTCAGTCACTTGTGGTGGGGGTAAGAAACTGTCTTCACCACTAATGGCTGTGAAATTTTAACTCCAGTACAGTGTATACCTTCACACTCAACATTACTGTATGCTCTTGCTTCTCCCAGTTGTTAAATTGTGATTCCCCTTTTTGGGGATTTACTGTAAGTCAGTATTTATGCTATTGTTTACACCATTTGTTATTTGGAGCTCCTGAAGACTATCCTCTAAAACTGTGGGTCATAATATAGTTGCCTATATATCCTATAGTACAATGTACTGCATTGCTTTGTCTCAAGGTTTTGAGATTAGCTGCATTGTCTTTGCAAACTGTCTGACTTAAAAATAAACAACATAAAACATAGAAAACTGAAAGCACAATAGAAAGTGTGCCTGCCAGAAAAGCAGACTTTGCCATTATGTCAAAATTAGATTGAAAATGCATTTTTATTTTAAAAAAGAATGATTAAATTATACAATGAGTACACAATTAGTGTACTGTACAAACACATACAGTATATAGGTTGTATTCGTTGTCGAATTTAATGGAGATGAATTGTTTAAATTAATTTCAGAATGGATCACAAAGCATTTGCTTCAGAGTTAAATTGGCACTAGGTTATTAATAATTGAATTGCCAACTTTGAAAATAAATAACAATCATGTCTGTTGAGAACTTGTACTCCTCTCCCAGTTGTCATTGTGCCCAGCTGCTTTTTTATACTGTACATGCAGAGAGCCTTGTTGTTTGCAAGCTTCATCAGTAACAAGTGTGGGATCATTACTTCATTAGTGTGGTTAGAGTGTTTGATTCATGGATCCCTTTTTCTGAAATCTCTTTATTATATGAAGTATATTAGTAAAGTATAATGAAACGCAACGGGGGTTCAGGCGGGCGCCCTTGCCGCATTAGGTCAGCCCCGCACCGTCGGGGGCTCGAACCCAGGACTCCCGCGTCCCTCAGCATGGACCCAGCCCGGTGAGCTAAAGAGAGATCTCTCTACAGCCCAGGGGCTGTGGTCCTGCTATTACAGGGAAGGGCGGTGACGTCACCGCTCTGGTAAGCCGGCTCTTACACAGTACCTGTCGGTCGTAAGCGTTACAATAACTTTGTGTTTTTTAGTTTTTTTAAACTTTGTTGGCCTGGGATACAGATCTATCCTATACTCTTAGCTACTGGAGTATTGTTTGTAGTGCAGCTAAGTAGGCTTTTATGCAATATCATTTGCTAGGAATAAGTCATCGTCTCTTTTTTATTTGAATACCCTTTTTGTACATCACTCGAAGGTAATGTTTTTTTTTGTTTGACGAATCAAGAACTAAGGGTTACTTTAAACGTGTTCAAGCAATTGAGCCAAGTTTTAATCTATGAGATCTTCAATTCACCGACTTTTCTAGACGTTCAATAAGTGAAATTTTAAATGCTTTCAGAAAAGGATTCATTCTGACGGAGTGAGTAATATAGTTCAATTAAAATACCAAGAAAACCTGAAGTTTGGGTGGAGTTAAGGATTGGGTTTCATCTTCTACTGGCTTTCCAGCTACAACTCCTCCAGTAGCGTGGCTCAGGAGTGTTATTGTTAAATTATTTAAGAAAAAAAGGAATGATTAAAGGATGAGGCATTTGTTAAATCAAACGTAATCAGTAGCTGTATCTGTACTTTATCAATTTTCATTTGAAGTTCAACAATTCTGATTTATTCTAAACCTACCTTATACCCTTGTAAGTGTATAATGATATTCACCATATTGGTTGACAAAGCACTGAGGATCACAAAAAATGACAAACAGCAAATGCATCAACTGAATCATGAAATTATATTTCTTATGAATAAGTAAGGCTTCCCTCCTTCATAACAATTTAGTTGTCCTTAAGGATGAGCTGTGGCTCATTTCTGAGCAAATAAACCTGAATAGTGTCCTGCCAACAGGCTGTATCATTGACAGCATTTAATAAATTATAATAAATGATAATGGAGACAAGCATGCCCAGGTTTTATGAATGTTTTTGATTGGTTGTCATTGGCAAGCACCTCGTTCAATACTGCTGGGCGTTCTTTTCTCCTGCCCCGAATGTGGCTTCAGGATACCAGCTGACCTCGGCAGAGTGCTTTGACCTGCGCAGTGGCCGGGTGGTGGTGGACCAGTATTGCCACTACTACCCTGAAAATGTCAAACCCAAGCCGAAGCTGCGAGAGTGCAACATGGACCCCTGTCCTGCTAGGTGGGTGCTTTCACAACATCTAGTGGGGAGAAAAAGGGAACATTGTGAGACCTGCAAAGAAAAATGGGACAAATTGGCCATGTGTGTGGAAACGGACAGGATCCACGGTGCTTATGCTGTGACAGGTGATCAGAACTCAGATGAGGGCTGCATATCAGGTGCTGAAACTGCCTGATTCTGCCTGATGAAGAAAGGCAAAAAACATATTTTTAGATTATTGTCCTATTTAAATGTTGCAACAGATAAGCTTAAATAAGCGGAAATAACAGAATTAACATTGTAGCAATGAAATATTTTAATTCTACTCTAATAGCAATTAAAGCTGCCTGGATGAAACCTTTTCAAGTAAATGAGCAAACCAAGATTTCTGCGATACTGCATTAGCAATCCCATCTGTATACAATTTAATTAATTTCCTATACTCTTACGTAGTGGATCTGTTTATGTGTATTTAGAACAGTGACATCCTCTGTTATGCCTTTTCATAATTGAGTGTTCATTGTTCTGTTTAACTTTTACTGAGAGAGATTTTGTTCCTTACAGCGATGGCTACAAACAAATCATGCCCTACGACCTCTACCACCCTTTACCTCGGTACGTATGGCAGTGAAAGCAAGGCGAACATCATGAGCTAAATGTGAAAGGTCTTGTTATCAAAGAAAACACAACACACAGAAAGGCCTACTGAATGAAAACTTCTGTTACATTAACAACAAAGAGGAACTCTTAGAAAAACCCATCGTTAACTCACACACACAAGATTCTGGTATCGTAGGGCCGGAAGAAGAGAGGAAAGGAAGCATCTTAATCTATATCAAATGTTTTCTTTTCCATTTACTGTATGCATCTTTTTGTACCCTCCCAATTTGTAATTGCCAAATGTCTTTCAACAACAATGCTGACCTATAATATATTAACCTCAACAACAACAGACATCTCAGAGGTCAAGAAGCACACAGTCCTTATGGGAGAGCTGGCCCTGAGTAAGGTTTGATGCAGCTCCAACTGTGAGCTTACACAGTGCCCAGCAAGCCACAAGAGCTGCTGTTTGTAAGCTGAGGACATCCTATCTGATTTAAGCACCACTTGGGCAGTTCTGGTGCACAGTTTGTGGATTCCCACTAACACCAAGCTGGCTAAATAGTCAGTTATCAACCCAGTGATGTCTGGGTACTGCTGTACCACTCATCTGAATGTGTGCTTTTACAGCTGGAACCTCTCTGGGGCCCTGTTACGAGCTGGAACACTAGCAGTTACTCTGCAGTAGTGACGCTCCATAGAACCGCACCTTTGTGTGTTTCTAAGCAATGGCTCAAATTGTGAGAGAACGTGCATGTCCGCCGCTCGTTGTCCCTGTATTCGCCAGTAAGTTTGTTTGACCGTGTGGAAGACCTGTGTCCTCAGGTGGGAGAGCAGCCCCTGGACAGCCTGTTCCATGTCCTGTGGCGGGGGGATCCAGAGCCGCTCAGTGTCCTGTGTGGAGGAGGACATCCAGGGCACCGTCACCACTGCCGACGAATGGAAGTGTCTGTACTCCCCCAGGATGCCCATCATCCAGCCCTGCAACATCTTTGACTGCCCAAAGTGGCTAGCGCAGGAGTGGTCACCTGTAAGTCCTTTTTAGGAGCCTCTGTGATGCCAAGGGACAGAGGGTCTTCACTCCATCTGTGTCCTGTTAGTTAACTGAACTCATTAATTACTGAATCACTTTCTCCTCTTTTTAAACAGTGGTGATTTCACCAAACCGAGAAACAGTATAACACCCCAGGGCACAGGCTGTATATTGCTAGCTAAAGTACAGGCACTCTCAGGCGCTTGTTTTCTGTGCGTGATTGAGCCAACTACATTGTACAAAAGCAAATCAAAACAACAGAGACTTTTTTGTTTTTTATCTTTGCAAAATAAGCTTTACCATGTAACAACTTGTCATTTGAGTTAAGGTTCTCCATTATCTTGGGCTTAAGTAAATTTGATATTTTTACCACTCCCCCTAAACCTCAAGGAAAAACAAATAAGATATTGCCTTCACAATTTATGTGGTTGGCACGGTGATGTGAGAGTTAGTGCTGCTGCCTCATGAGCTCTTGAGTCCTACTGTAGGTTTGATTCTGGGTTGGAGCACCTTATGGATCGAGTTTGCACATGCTCTGTGTGTGTTGATTAATTGGTTTCTCTAGCTTGTGTGCCCTGTAAAGAAGCTGTTTACCATCTAAATGGAGTGTTTCTGGCCCTGTATTTCTGGAAGTGACTCTAGTTTGAGTACTTACTGTACTAGGTGGAGTTTGAATGGATGGTAATTTTTTTTTCAGTTTGATACCTTTAATTTTCATAAAATGTAGGATTCTATTGTAGTTTTATTAGTATGTTCATCACTAATAACAAATTAATCTATTTACACTATGTAATAGTATTGTGTGTTTCTATGTATTCTAAAGAAGGATTATTAATTAAATGACTGGAGTAGATATAAGCAAATGTCAGAATGAGATGTAAATATGAAATATTGTTCAATTTTCTTCATAACAGAGAAGGAATGTCTCAGTTTTAATACCTTTCTCTCTTTTAGCATATTGTCATTTCATGAATCATGTTTCCATTTTGGTCTATTATTAATTGTTTAAAACCTCCTCATTGTGTCCACAGCTGTATTTGCTCTGTATTCGGTCTGTGTCCTCTAAGCAAAACAGTGTGACTCTTTTTTCACATCACCTCTTGTCTATGACTACTCTTTAAGCAAGGGAAAAGACAGATTCAGAACATGTTCCCACAGAGAAAATAATTCACTATGTATTTGCACGTTTGTGACTGTCAAAGCCAAGGTCTCCTAAACTATTCCGATTTCTGTGTCATGTATAATCTTTCTACTGAGTTGAGCTTTTACTTTAATTGCTTGTCAAAATACCAATATACAGAGAATTGATTGTGCACACAGAATAAATGAATAAAAGGTGTAAATATTATTTTTAGCATAGTGCCAGAATGACAAAAGGAAGGAGAAAATAAGTTTAAATTTACTTGGCAAGTCTTGTTGTGTGTTTACTGTTTTATTTTTTTCAGATATGTTGATTATGATGTAATTTGAAGCAGCGTTTATGATTTTGTTTTGAGATTTGATGATTTCTGAATAGTTTCAAAATATTTTAAATCAGTTTTGTTGGCCATGATGCTTCGCTATTGCTAAATGTTATATGATTAGATTTTTTATTTAAATGTTTTCAGTGTAGCCTGAAAGTGTAAACCCTATCACAGAAAAAAAAATCACATATGAGCAAATAAATTACTGTTATAGGTAGGTCACAGAAATGTCAATTCTTAAATGACCACAATTTAATTTGGACTTTTACAGTACAGTATATGAAAATATTTTGAGTTGTCAATGGATTTAAAAAGATTTAAACTGTTGCAAAAGAGCATTCAGATAATGACAATTTAAAAATATTTCCTATAACCTCTGTGATTTAAAGGAAAACAATTAATATATTTTTGTTCATTATTCAAATATCTGTTTTTTTCAACTAATGAAATAAAGTTCTACAGAAGTTAAAAAAACACCTCCAAAAGTTGTTGTTTAGAAACATAAAGCACTGTAACTGTGTATGTGTGGTAAATAGGATCTTTTTGGTCAGAAGATGTGAAATAGAAGGATTTCAAGCTGGGGGTGAAGAAGTAGAAGCACTTATGAGATATACTGTACAGGAGTGTGGGATAGAGGTGCAGGACTCCATATGTTCCTATGTTTAGCATTTGTGGAATATAAACAAATCACCCTATGATGTCTCTATCATTTCAGCTTCACGGTGAAATTAATTTCCCATCCTGCCATCGCACCCTGAGACCCTGCGAGTTAGATTTGTGGCCTGTTAAAACCTAGAACTTTGTTGACCTTATACATTCCTTATTCTGAACTTCCATTAAATGCTTGTCTTGGCAAAGGTTGTACAAAAAAAATGGAGGCAGCCAATGTGAAGGAATATTTCTTGTCCTGTTTTTTTTTCTAGTTTAAGAGTAGGACGATGATGCTGTGTGTACTGTATTTCTACATGTTTAACACATATTTACATTTTTGTGGATGTTCAGAAAGGCACAATACTGTTTCGTATTGTCTTGAGCTGAAGTTGGTACAGTGTATTCCAAATTTCAGTGTTATGTTTTGCAAGGCACACAATGTTGCTGGTGGTCTCGTAGGCCACCTTAAGATGTTCTGCCTCTGATTTGTAATATGACTTCTTCAGACTCTTTGTCTATGCTTTAGTAGCTGCTGCGCGTAGAAGATTTACAGAAATCAGCAGAAACGCTCACTCATTCCAATGCACGGGAGATATGTTTAGAGGCTGTCCTGTTCTGTGAGCAAAGTGACATGATTATCCATGCTAGCAGAGGAGGTGTGGGCTGTGACTGTGTCCTCTGTTCCACAGTGCACAGTGACATGTGGCCAGGGACTTCGGTACAGGGTGGTGCTCTGCATCGACCACCGAGGGCTTCATGCAGGAGGGTGCAACCCCAAGACCAAGCCACACATAAAGGAGGAGTGCATTGTGCCTGTTCCTTGCTACAAACCCAAAGGTATGCCACTTCTTCCAGAAAGAAAACGAGCTAGCGGTAGTGGAGAAGCAGAAATGAGAGGCCCCCTCCTGCCAAACCTATTGTAATTCTCACACGTTTTTTAACAGCAGTCAACAGCTTCTGTTTGCATTTGAACACACCTCATCAGCTGTCTCATTTGTCTTCTTTAAACAACTTACTATGGGAATGTGCTCTCTGCTTGCCTGACCTTGTTTAGTGCTGAAAATGTACCAAGGATGGGAATATGTACCCACATATTTGCAAAGGTCTGTGTAATTTGTACTATGTAACTGAGCAAGCTTGACACAGGTATATCCTTATTTTTGTGAGGTAATTCTTGCAAGCCACATCCCCTTTTTACATGACAGTGTCAGTCAATAGATGTCGTCTAGCTGATGTGCAAAGTAGAGCTGCACTTCAGAGGTGATTGTGTTTCTCAGTAGACTCTGACAGGAGGGTAGGGGGAGGTTGATTGACCTTAGACCACCTGCAACACATGTGAAAATCTTCAGGGAACTTACAGTAGATGTGGTGGCTTAGATGCCACAAGTTCTACAATTTTGTCCAGGTGAGTCATTGAAGGCCTTGAGAGAGGAACCTTTTGTGACATAGCTGGTGGCAGAGGCTGAGGTCTGAGGGCTTGCTGACCTGGAAGGTGCTGTGTTGCAGAGAAGCTTCCGGTAGAAGCCAAGCTGCCCTGGTTCAAACAGGCCCAGGAGCTGGAGGAGGAGAAGGCTGTGACTGAGGACCCTACGTGAGTACAGGCCCTCAGGCTGCAACTTGTTCACAGCTGCCTGCCAAGCCTAAGAAACTAAAGTATAGGCTGTGAAATTTGTCAATTTGTCATCTGTGGTTTTCTGGATGTTGTGCAATGATGCGGAATAAGGAATCCTTTGTTCAGATTAATGAAGTGATCTCTCATATGTCTAATACCCAGCATCATCATATTCAAATCTTTAATCTCATCAGTTTGCTTGACTCATGACTGATTGCAAGCCTTGTGAGAAAGAAAAACTACATACCATACATTAACCTTACTTTGTTACTGAGAGAGATACTACAGATAATGGGGGGAAAAATAAATCCAAAGTAAAAACGTATGTACCTAAATACATGAGGATGTGTCTTTGAATTCAAGCTCCATGGTATCTCTCGATATCATTCATATCTGCTGTAGACATAGCAAATTTAAAGTATTTAATTTTGTTCTAGCAATTTTGTAGAAAAACGTTAGATTTGCTTTCTACAGTGTTGTAATTCAAGAATACCGCCAAGTGTAAGATTTGAAAACACAATTAGGACATCACAGTTAATACAATGCATAAATTGATGGTGATATTACCACTTTCTAACTAGAACTAATCAGATATCACAGCGATGCAAGATAGGTCCTGCTCAGTACCAGGGTGTAAGACCTGTAAGTAAGACCAGGTTGCTGTAAGAGGTATTGGTCAACCAGAAGATATTGCTCTTTCTTCTGGACCAGACTTTACAAAATAATTTCCTAGTATTGACTGGAGACAATTCAATATACAATAGAGGGTACCATCCTTCAAGTGAGATAATGCATTAAACTAAGGTCATGACTACTTGATCATTGACCATGACACTATTTGAATGAGTAGGGGTGTTAATTCCTGTGTGTTGGTTAAATTCCATTCTGGGTTTGAACAATCTGGCTTCCCCAAGTTTCCCCCATTAATTCAGATGTTGAAGCAATTTCTCACTTGACGGCCTGACCTGCTGTGTGCCCCTTCTTTATGTAACGCACATTGAGGGCCATTGGGATAAGTGCATATACTGTAAATGCAATTTTATGGCTAATAAAATGTTAAAAATAATAGTAATCTTCTTTAACAACATTATATTTAATGATATAATCGGACTGTGCCCTTCTAATGTCATTAAAACAAAGACCACGTGGAAACTGTAGCCTACTGATTGCCAATAAACATCAGAATGAATAAAGTGGAAATATACACCACAAACAACGCTTCAAGAATTTGAACAAGCTAAAGTATGAACATATGATAATACCAGCTCCACTTGATGACTTCTTATAAAGTATCCAGGACAGCTGACATATGCAGCCAACATTCTTTCCATTTCTCAGCAATTAGCATCCACAATGGGTTTGTTCATAAATTTCTAGAATTTGTCAAGGTCTGGAAAATTGGATGAGAAGTGAGTGTTGAATGTGAGATTTTATGAACGGAACGTGGACATCCAAGGTCCAAATTGTGAGTCTTGCAATTGAAGCGTGAGACTCACTGATTTTCCCTGTGCTCTTTAACAAGAATTTTTAAACAAGCTTTTAAAAAAGGATTTGCTTTTGCAGAGATCAAGATTAATAATACTGTGAAGCTAATACTCTTGCCATTCCATTCCTAGGTGTCTGGAAAAAAATGCTTTTAATTGCCTTCTCTTTTTGTGTGCTACCTTTATGTGTTGTGCACAGATCCTTTTTTTGTCATATGTGACAGACTGTGAATCTTTTTGTTTAACTAATGGTTATAGGAGCTCATGGGTGTTCCACCTACAATTTCCCAAGTGTCAGTGTTAAGTTCGGGAAATGTTTTCAAAATCAGTCTCGGATATGAGAGCCTCATGATAATTGCACTATGCAAATATTAAAGCTTTTCTGTTGAGCAATCATTTATACAGCACTTGTAGAATGTCTGTTGTATCCCAGCCTGAAGAAGAAAGAACACTCTCTGCTTTCTTGCTTTCAATGTTAAAGCCACATCTCCAGCTCAACAAATATTTGATAAATGACTGGAAATTACTTTGAGAAATTCATGGACACCGTGCATTCACTTTAAAGGTGTCTAATGAAACCCACAGAAAGAATCTGTCATACTTTTTCACACTCAGACAGTCAACCCAGCC